ACTCGGTCCCACCGTGGTGCGCTCACTTGTCCGACAACGCATGCCCAACTCCTCCCCAACCCCAACAATTCTCCCCAACCCTATGCCCTATGGCTGCTGGTGTCCATTCGGGGTCGGCGGCATTGGCGGCAGCCATTAAATAATGAGGTAACCCTTGAAGGAACCCCCTGAGACGTCCGCCTGGGCCGGTCGAGAGAAGTTCAGAGTGTAGGAATCGGCGCCTTGTTAGCTCCGCCCCCTAGGAGCCTTACAGAATCCCTTACGCTTAAGGGTTAGGGTTTAGGATTTAGGGCTCGGGTTTGGAGTTTAGGGTTTAGGGTATAGGGTCTGCGGTTTAGGGTTTTAGGTTTGGTGCTCGGGTTTGGAGTTTCGGGTTGAGGGTCCGACCACTTCCTGAACCCTCCAGTGAACCCTTGTAGAAACCCTATGGAGCGGTGGAAGCAAGGTAAGTGTTTATAATTCAGTGTGCAGGCATGTATGTATGTATGTATGTATGTATATACACGTACATGCATACTATCCCCGCTTAGAAACAGTATGATATACGCTTATAAGCAGTACAATATACGAATAAGTATGCGTGTGTATATATATATATACACACACATCTAACATATGTACGTATTCTTATATATGTATGCATATTAAATTAATATATCATAAGCTTGCTTTTTTGCGTGTGTCTAGTCGACATATCCCCTTAATTCAAAGGCAATCGGTTCTCTGGGCCTAACAACACTAACCCACTCTGTGACAGGAGATCTGGCAACCATGAGCTGAACTTTAGAATTCAGGGAAAACAGGGAGCCAGTTTGCCAGGTGCCTTGGATGGGCAAAAATCAGTTTCTTATCCACGGCTTCTTTCGCGTGGCTATCACAGAGCTTGGGCCGTACCTTTGCGCTTTTGTTTCCTGTTGCTGTGCTTTGCGTTGGATTGCCCTTGCAACAAGGATCCTACTATTCAGCGTCCATACTAAGGTTGCTTGTATTCTGAACCTCCCATTTGGTATAACCCGAACCACTACTGGTGTTAGGTGTTAAGTGACTACATGCTGCAACGTTGACACGAACTCAAGCCTTAGCAAAGGAAGCTCACCTGGAAAACTTAACTACAGCCCCTTTACCGGACCATTCTCCTGCAGTTAACTAACCCAAAGCTGTTGTGACAGATGCCGAAGCTGCGCTTGAAAGACCTAACATTTGGGAGCTCCTAAAATAAGGGGTATCGTATTTAGGGGTCCTTATAATGAGGATCCTACTATTTAGAGGGGTCTCAGCCCCACCGAGTTTGGTTTTTCGAGCCATGTTCACCAGGTGTAGGATTTAGCGCTGTCGGAGGTTGCCTTTACGCTTTGGGTGGCTTTCTGTTTCAACTGGCTGGTCCAAAAAAGGAGGATCAAAGCAGACCAATTGCAGAACAAAGGTCAGGTTGCGGATTGTCTTATAATCTACGACTCCTGCAAGCTAGCCGACGACTTCGTGCGAAGATGCGGAATTCAGAGTTGGGCCTGCGCCTGTCCGTGTTTTGTCCTCGTGCATGTCTGACATCAACATCATCATTATTATCATCATCACCATCATCATCATCACCTTCAGTTATTATTAATCATCTTCGTGTTCGTCTTCATACAAACGTTCAATCTCATCCTCATCATCAACAACTGCATCATCATGATCAAAGTCCGTCGGTTTCACCTGTCGTCGAAACGTGACGAAGAACCTGCACCCACATCTACACTTTGCCGCTAGGGCTGCGGCTTCCTCCCAGGTAGGACACGTTGATGGCAACGTTTTCAGAGAGGCCCTTGCGCTGGCGCCAGACCACCCAGCCTTGACCAGGGCTTTAGGGCCTGGGGCCTCTGGGACTTTCAGCAATGAAGATCCTGGATTCGGATTTAGATGGTCGGAGCCTTTGTATCTGCTTCTTTCATGTAGATATGAGTTCATACTGTTCTAAGTCTAAGGCTTTAAGCTTACTGCGGCTCAGGGACTCAGGGCATGTTTTATAATCTGGGGACCTCAGTAATCTTACCAGGGTCTGCGCGTGTATTATACTATGATTTTGATCCGGAGCCGGAAAATAAAATACGGCTAGTTTTTCAAGCCCCTATACTTTTATCGTTGCTGCAGAGTTTCAGAGCGCTGCGACACGGGCTTGGAGTTCAGAGCTCACGGCTTAGGGTCCTAGGGTTCAGAGATTGGGGTTTACTGTCGTCTCTGTCATAGTTTCCGGGCCAGGCTGCTAGGGTTTAGGGTTCAGGGTTTAGGGTTCAGGGGTTTAGGGTTTAGGGTGTCACAAGCCTGCCAGTTTGCTCCATGAAGCTCAAGGCTGTGCGCCCACTTCCCCACACTTCTGAGATTTTGTGCGTAGGGTGTTTAGGTATAACAGGGTCTAGGAATTTGGAAGTTCCGACTTTTCCAGTAGAAGAATACATGTCTCGGAACGGTTGATCAGGGATACCCCATGTCAGGGAGAAATGCCGCTCGCTGACGGTTTCAGGGAATCACCATCAACCGGACAATGAACTCACGGGTTTACTTGAGAGCTTAGGAGATTTCGCACCCTTGCTGTAAACATGACAAGATTCTTGTTAATGCGATCCCCCAGAAAACCTGCCCAAAAAAACGATTCAGGCTCATCCGGCGAGAAGTCCTAAACTCTGCTCCAGGTTCGGACGTTGAAGGTCGAGGGTTTGAAGCTTGGGTTTAGGGTTTCGGGCCGATTTCGGTTGGCCGGTGCTCATTTTTGCGGAAGAGGTCTCGAGAATTCAGCATCACATTGGCGGCTGCAGTCTTGCTGTAAGGGGGAGTTTCGCATTAGCATACGCTTCCAACAGAGCACAAACTAGCCCCTAAAGCCTAACCCCCAAACTTTAAACCCACGGTACATCCTTGCACCCTGGCTCCGTCAACGAGCTTCCTAAGCCCTGAACCTTGTGCCTCCTAGACTGTCAGAGGGATCGTGTTGTCTAGGTTGCAGAACCTGCTGATATTCGGACTTGCTCAAGACTCTGAGTAGTCTCGCGTGATGAATTTTGAAACCCCTAAACCCTAAACCCTAAACCCCGTTTCTACACTAAGTCTCAGACCCAAAGCATCTGTAATCCGACAAATCCTCTGCCTGTGCCTCTTTCCACCCTCAGCCCAAGGCACCGAAAACCTATGGAACCTCCACCCCTCTGTCTTACGAAGCCCGGACCTGGGAACCTATGAACCCTAAACCCAAAACCCCAAA